AAACGATGTTGACCATCTTTATATGAGGACACAAGTTCTGCTCTTTGCCCCGTGCTCGGATCGAAACGTGCATATGTTTATCTCCTATTAAATGTATTTTTATATTTTATATATTCTTCTCTATCCGTTTGTTTCGAAGCACCTTCACACCAAAGGCCGGAAGGATGACCTGTTCAGTGACCCGTGCTACCAGCAGTTCGGCCAGGAGCTGAACAAAGTCCTCAAAGACTGGCAGCCCAGCGTGCTTCCCGATGGTGAGTGCACCCTGTGCCCCTGAAAATACCATCTCCCGCCAAAAGCTGCAGCAGAAACCACAACACGCCGCCGTTTGACCTCAGCGTGGAAAATTAGAGCTAATTGTGAAGATGCGACGCGTGGAAAGAACATCACCCGTCACTGATAATGGTGACTCCGTGAAGTGGCGGGGGACAGATACCGGGGTGTGTTTGAAGGTGTGCCTGTCAGCACCAGCCTGGTGGCATGCGGCTGTCCCGTCCTGTGATTATAACACTTCTGCTGTTCACATCCTGACACTCTGTGATTGCACCAATACTGTTGTATGAGGACGAGCTCTGCCCATCCAGTTTAGATTAGCATTAGCATCTGCTAACCCACAGGTCTGTGTCCTAACCATTAAGTTATCAGAGTAAATCCCTGTTCAATATGAGTCTGACAACTAAGTAAGTAGATAAATAACTTTAAACTTTAATACATGCTCCGATAGGCCGGAATCGGATCAGAAGTGAAAAAAGGTGGTATGGATTAGCCCCACCTCCACTTTCTACCTACATTAGACAGACGTATTTGCACCAGAACCTCTTCCAGAGGAGACCTAGAGATCCCCCACAGAACAACAACCTCTGGACATACCGTTCTATCAGTCAGAGGGGGTCACTTCTGGAACAGCCTCCCAACAAACATCAGGGATTGTCCCACTTATTGCACATTTAAAAGCACCTTAAATAGTTTCTTAAAGGTTCCCAGTCATGCACTCTCTAATTTTATTGTTGTAATGTCATCGTCTGAACACGTGTCTGTGTTTTGACAGCTATTGTATTTTGTGATCTTGTATCTTTTTGTCTTCCTGGCTCAGGACGACAGATGTAAATTAGCAACTATGCTATAATCTGGCTCATTTACAATCTGTACAAAAGTATAAGACTGTTCATTAATGTGCACCAGAGTTTTTGGAGCATTTTGACAGATTTTTCAAGAGCCACAGAATAGTTTGTGCGATGACTATGTAAACACCGAACACACCAAAAGAAAGAGTAGACTCTCTTCTTTCATCAGGAAAATTTTTTTGTTTCTACCTTATTCCGTTCTTCCTCGACGTGCGTCTCACCGGCGACATGTTCTCTCATAGGGAACCGTTGCCTTTTTCTTATTTGCCTACAGTCTATGCTCATCTCCCATCAAAAGTGGCACTGCCCCCTAGAGGGTCGATTTGTTACTACATACTCTGTCTAGAAGCCTGATATTTACGGACAAGCTTTAGCAGATCGTCCCCCAGCCACTCTGGTTGAAAAACATAAAAGACGTCTATAGACGTCATTGGCAGTCAACGGTTGTATTTGAATTGACGTCTATAGACTTCTTTGGCAGCCAATGAGTTAATGTGCACTGTCCTGATTAAATAAATAAATTAAAAAGCTGGATCGGGACATTCTTACTTTAGCCTGACTGAGTTTTCCCGCCTCTGGTTTTGGGCGGTAAGAAGGTGGATTTAGACTCAGTCACGTGATTAAATCTTTTCTGTTCACACATACTACTGTTGACTCCTAAAGATGAGGACTTGAAATGAACATTTAAGCTCACCCTTGCCCCCCCCCTGTCTCAGGCTCCCCGTGGGGGCGGGTGGAGGAGGGCAGTCTGTGGAGCAGCCGGCAGCTGGGCCAGCAGAGCGCGGCCGCCCTGCTGCGCTCGCTGGTCTACCTGAACACCAAACACTTCGGGCTGCGCACGGTGGAGCAGCACCTGCGCCTCTCCTTCGCCAACGTCTACGGCCCCGACACCGTCCACCCCGTCACCAAGGAGACGGCCGTCTGTATCCGCGTCCCCTCCATCTCCCCGGAGCCCCACGGTGAGCCTCACCTAACCTAACGTCCGCCTGAGCTCATTAGTTGTTTCGTTTTTTGTTGAATTTTTTTCAGGGACTTGAGTCAAAATGTAAATGCTGGTGGTCTGAGGTGTTCTGTCCTACGTCGAATTAGATTAGTGTAGAATTACCCACGTTCAATTATTGGATTAGTGAGGTTTTTCCTCCCAGAAACACACAAAGGAACATAAAGGTTCTGATGTCATTTGTTTTAATTCGCTCACAGTGGATTCATCTGATGTCCTTGAGCCACAAACGTCAGAATTTTAACACTGTTGTTTTAAAGGAGACATATTATACCCTATTTCAACAAGTTAAACTAGTTCCCTGGTGTCCTAATGTTATGTCTGTGACAAGCTTTGGTCAAAATCCCATAAGGATGAAGCACAATAGCATGCTAACGCTACCATGCTAACGCTCACGCTACCACGACGTCTCCACAGATAGGGGAGTAAGCTGGGGGGGGGGGGGGCAACATGCAGGTGAAAGGCTGGAATATTATAATGAGCTAGAGCTAATGACGTCAGAAACTACCCACTCCTGAAACCTCCTGATTTATCTCCTGGATTCAGACTGAGGCAGCCCACAAAAACATGACTGAGTCCTTTTTTTCCACACTTTGCCTGCTGATAGGCCCTCCACAGTCCCAAATGTACATAATCAAATGATTAAAAACTTGGTTTTACATACGTCCCCTTTAAAATCCATGTCAAACTTTGGGCGTTTATCAGCTGCTTTAATCCTAATTTAAAATATGGTTGTTGTTGTTGTTTTTTTTGTAAAGTGAAAACGTGGCCCAGAAGGAGGAAGCGTAAGCTGGAGGATCGCGTTGAGGATGAGGACGAGGACTTGAGAGGCTCCTCTGTCTGCGGCCCGGTCCAGAAGCACGAGTGTCGTCTGTATGAGCTCTACAGATCCAAGTGGTAAAAGCCTTTTCTCTCATCATGCTTCCCCCGACTACAGAACACGTTTGAGCCCATTTCCTGTTGAGCCTGGAAGTATTTCTATACATCTGAGGTGCAAATAGGAGTCATAAACTGGCTTCAGACCAGATTCAGACTCCTGAACCAGTTTTTTTTTTTAAAGTCCAATCCCACACGAGCATTAGCATCTGCTAACCCACAGGTCTGTGTCCTAACCATTAAGTTGTTAGAGTAAATCCCTGTTCAACGCTAGTCCTACAACTGAGTAAGTAGATGTATAACTTTAAACTTTAACACATGCACTGATAGCCGTTATCTGTATCGGAAGTAAAAAAAAAAGCTGGATCTGGACATCCCTGATTCAGCCTGACTGGGTTTTCCCGCCTCTGGTTTTGGGCGGTAAGAATGCGAATTTAGAGTCAAAGTCCTGTGATTAAAACTCTTTGCTGTTCACATCCTGAAACACACTGTTGACTTGTAAATATGAGGACTTGAAATGGACGTTTAAGCTCAGCTTTGTCCTTGTTGTGAAAGAGAGTAACAGTTTCCCTCCCCCCCTCTGCCTCCCCACTCCTCACCCCTTGGCTTCTGTTCCTACTTTGTTATTCCTCTCCTTTCTTTAATGCTCATCATTCTTTCGCTTTCCATCCTTTCCCTCCTATCTTCCACTTCCCGGTCCTTGTCCCTCCCTTCTGCTGGTCCCCCCCCCCCCCCCACTGTCCCACCCCCATCTCTGTCTCACCCCTCCTCACCCTTTGGCTTCTGTTCTTACTTTGTTATTCCTCTACTTTCTTTTATGCTCATAATTCCTTCACTTTCCTCCTTTTCCCTCCTATCTTCCACTTCCCGGTCCTTGTCCCTCCCCTCTGTCACTTCCTGTCCCTCCCCCCCCTCCCCCGTTCCCAGCCCCCCCTCTCTTCAGGAGCGTTTGGACGTGTTTTACGTGCAGCCGGACCCGGCCCGCGGCCCCGACGACCCGCTCTGGTTCAGCTCCACCCCCCTGCAGCGCCACATCCTGGAGGGGCTGCTCACCCGGGTCCTCCTGGTCCGGGACCTCTACACGGACAGGCCCCGCCCGGGGGAGGACCACAGGGAGGAGGGGGAGGACCATAGGGAGGAGGGGGAGGAGGACCATAGGGAGGAGGAGGAAAGGGGGGAGGCGGGTGGGGAGTAGGGACCTGAGGAGAACACGACCGGTTTAGTTTTTTGTTTTTCTTCTTCCCGTCTCGCCTCCTTTGACCCCTCCAGACTTCAACGTCTCCTCCTGGTGAGGGACGCCCCCAAACCTGCTCCTGTCTTCAGAAGGAACCCGCCGGGAGCAGGAGCACACGGAAAAAACAAAGGACGGGATCACCACGGGAGACTGTGGTTTTCAGTGGTTTCAGACGTCCGGTTTCGGATGACCGTTTTCGCCAAATACCTCGACGTTTGCCCCCTGCTGGTCGATTTTAAGCATTTAAACCCACGCAAAAAAGAAAACAAACACACACAAAAAAGCGAGCGCCTCCTCATTGGATCTCAACAGAATCTGCTTTTACTGGCTGGACCGACTCCATAACGACTCCTGCCTGTCCCAGAAGGGAGGCGGGGGTGTGGGGGGGGGGGATTTGCCCCTATGGCGTAGCATCACCTGCATACTCAGCCCAGACCGGGGTGTAAATATCTGGACGGGGTCAGCTCTAGTTTGGGATAAAGACCTCAGCTCGCACCAACCTGCTAGCTGAAAAGCCTTTTTCTTTCTCACTCTTTTTTTTTTTTTTAAGAAAACACACATTATTTATTTCTTTTTTTTATTAGTTCCACTGTATCCACTTTGTGTTTGTAACTTCTTTTTTTTTTTTACGTCTCTTGTCTCTCGGCCCGTCGACAGCTAATCATGAAGGAGGATTGTTCAGAACCTGAGAATCCATGTTGGAAGTCTGTTTTAATCCGTGTTTTCCCCCCTTTTTCCCCTTTTCTTTAAACCCAATCTCCTCTTAAGTCTCCTGTGAGTGAGTGATCAGACAACCGGATGAACTGCAGCGCTGGAATGAGTTTAAAGTCCCCTTTTGTGTCTTTTATTCTTTTGCCATCAAGTAAAAAAAACCTCGTAAAGGTTTGTTCACCCAGACGTGTGAGATAAACCGGCCTTCATGGACACCCCCCCCCCCCCCCCCATCCTAATCTGTCCTCTGTGCACAAAATCCCCCCGGCTGCTCCCCCCAGAGTTTATTTTATCTACTGAGCAGCCGCTCCTGACGTTTTGTACACACGACTGCGTTTACTGGTCCGAATCTGCAGGGAAGCAATCAGGAACAGGCGCGGGACCCGAACGCGCTCAGACTCCACCTTTAAACCTTTAAACTCGGCAGGTTGATCGGATCGGAGGATACTGGTGGACCGGACTGGTCGTTTTTCCTTCTGTTGGGCTGAGAGGCAGCGGCCAAAGCAGCCGGGGTCCAGGGGCCTGGGTCTGGGTTCAGGGATTTGGGGTATGGGTCCCAGGGTTTTGTGTCTGGGTCTGGGCTTTGGATCCCAGGGTCTGTGGTCCAGAGTTTGGGTCTTTGTCATGGGGTCTAGGTCCTGGGTTCCCTGGTCTGGGTATGGGTCCTGGGTCTGGGCTTTGGGTCCCGAATCGGGGTCTGGGGGTCTAGGTCCTGGCTCCTGGGTCTAGGCTTAGGGCCTTCGGGATCCTGGGTCCGAGGCTTTAGGGTTTAGGTCCTGGTCCTGGGTCCCTGGTCCTGGTCTGTGCTGGTCCTGGTCTGTGCTGGTCCTGGGTCTGTGCTGGTCCTGGGTCCCTGGTCCTGGTCTGTGCTGGTCCTGGTCTGTGCTGGTCCTGGTGGCCTGATGTGAATGTGCCTATCTGTACATAGTGGAGGAGTGAGTGACTGTGGAGGATCTGCTGATACGGTTCTGTTTAATAAACAATTTCCTTTTCTAGTCGGACTCTTCTTCATGCCTCTTCAGCCGGTAAAATCCAGATGTTCCCGTTTCAGTTAAATTCCTCCATTAAAAAAAAAAATTACATAAAAAGCATGAAAACAAAAGCTGTAAGGATAAAGTTACTTTAATGTATAAAAGCAAGAAAAATAACCAGTTTAAGCAGGAAAAGGGAAGATGGAACAATATTCTCACTCTCATATCTGCAGGCCTCACTCAATGTCGATAATTAACCAAAAACTA